ATCAGCCTGAGTTTCAACCCACACAGACGACATGCTTCAGTGATCTGAGAAATTGCAGGATACCACCCCTTCCAATTTCACCATCACTGGACCAGACTGTTGCAGGCATTTGAAACAATTACCCCAAGGGGACCGGAGTAACCTTGTTTATAGCTCATTGAGCATCCACAGTTCCAATTTTGCACAGGTAATTACAACATCGTTATCTTCCCCTAAATCTTCTCCAGAGGTGTTATCACGCAAAGCTACCTTTGGCTCAGCTGTTTGCCTTTTGGACATTGATCCAAACAAACACAGCATCAGTATGCCCAGACATTTCTTGGACGGGCTTATGTTCCTTCTCCAGGTGTCGGTGACCCAGCAGAGCCCGCTCACCCAGAACACATCAGTCACACTAACACACATCTGTCGCACCGGGCTACCCACTCCATCACAGCCATGGCTGGTCTCTCTCCTTGAATGTCCCGTCCTGCTTAGAGAGGACAAACAAATCTTCTGATTTGCCTCTAATCTGCAGTCTACCCTCAGCGTGGGCCACCCTCAACCTAGCAAATCAAGGACAAGCACTCCATGGGGGGGGGTACCCATTAGCACAGCATCCTGCTTCCATCATAGTGTGATAGGGACAGGACAGAGGGATACGCTCCAATTAGAGATGGAGACATGGGGACTTTGCCCCTGACACGTCCCTGCTGCTCCACAAAAGAAGTGTGAGCATACCTTTCTCATACGAAAGAAAGGCTATCCTTTCCAATCTTGTCCCCTGCCTGGGGCTGTTGCTGTTCATTCACCTCATGAAGCCAAAACATTTCGTATCATGCTGTTTTCTTTTCATGTGTGTTGTGCCGCCTTGGTGTGTGTGCGTGAAAGTATGAATGGCAGGTCAGCTTATGTGTGGGTGCATGTCTATGAAAGAAATCGTGTGTGATCTTGTGTGTGCTTGCTCTCTGGCACGAGGGTGAAAGTGCTATCTTGGGGCGGTCTTTGGCATGCGTCTCTCGTCTGAGGCTGAAATCCATCCCTCTATATAGTGCAGTATATCAGCTTGCCTGTATTGGGTTGGGGTATGTTGGACCGGCTTCATGCTTCATACATTTGCATGCTGCATGAACACAATCTGCTCACGCCCAGTGGGACCTCCCCCCGTCCATTTGCATTGTTTTTACGCTCCTACGCGAAGTGAACCAATTTGTGGTCATAGTCCGTCTGATTTTTAATCAGGATTTGTGTACATGAGAGGTTAGAGACACAGAAGAAAGCATAGCAACAACACTCTGCTATGAATATTTCATCTTTGTTCGATATGAATAAAACACAACATGTTCCTGATTCAATCACAGGACAGCATACCTTTCACTGGTCCCGTGTGTATCTATCTGTTCTAAAGGGGAGCGATGAGCACTCAGATATGAACTCTTCCATTACATGGCGCCTCTCATTGAATCCAAACTTCACCAATGGCCTGCTCATGCACATGCAGCCCTCTGGACAATACAGACAAAATATAGTGTATTTGGTTGATTATGAAGTGTATCAACTATGCATGAAGCAATTAAGTACCAGGGCCTTGGGGCTCAGATGAAAACCGAATGGATACATTCCTACAACGATCTCTCCCTCACTTCCTCTATATGTCCATTCATTAATCCAGCGAGGCGGCCATTTGTTTGTGCAAACATTCGTTTAGCTGTTTGTTTGTCTGCTCGCTCAGCCATAGCAGTTTTCCTTTTTTTCACCTGCTTCAAGGAATGTCAGTGTCTATTGGGATTTCCATCTGAGTTGAAGAGACTGGCCGCATTGATAAATAAAGGTCAAAGGTAGCAGAAGCAGGCTCTGGGGAACGAGGCTTGTGGTGACAGAAGAAGTGAGACGAGAAATAAACCACTGGATCTGCAGAGGCTTGGATTGATTGGAATTTAGAGAGGGAGGAAAAATTAAATATTGGAGGGAGGGGGGGGGGGGGCTGGATCAGAGTAGTTGGAAAGAGAGAGGAGAGCAGGAGTCAGCATGATAGGGGGCAAGCCAGAGACTGAGATTTTTTGCCCTGAAAGCACCAACTTCAAAAGCTTTTGGGGGCATGCCTTTACACAATTTTACTCTAAAACATAATCCAGATATCTGAGAGAGAGTGCATCTCCGTGGCAACCCAACCCCCCCCCCCCCCCCCTCCCCTCTTGATCCTCCTTAGAACAGATTGAATAAGTTATCACCCATTTCACTAAGTCCAACATTTATGATTGCTCTGAGGTTAAGCTATCAACTGCATTACCATGTTTAAATGAATTTGGAGCACTGTGTGTTTTTAGGTTGTCTCAATTGCACTGTGTTTTGTGCTTGTTTCTGTTTCTGTGTGTGTGTCTGCATGCCTGTCTGTCTCATTCTTCCATCTGGATTCCTTTAATCCCATTCTCGTCCTCTAATCCATCTTTCTCCCTCTCTTCCTCCCACACTCTGTTTGCCCTCTCCTCCCTCTTTCCCCCCCTACATCACTATCAACCACCCTCCCTCCCTCTCGCTGCTTGCTTGATCGCATGCTGTCTCCATAGCGAGGAGCTGTATCTTCCACACGGTCGTGATTCACTTGGCAGCCACTTGAGATAAACATGTTGTGGTGGACAGACGCCTGGGTCCCGGTCCGGAGGAGCAGGTTGACGTGGGAGGGCCCTTCCCAGGTCCCATCGTCAGCATGGACAGCAGTGGCAGCCACTTGGCCAGATGGTCCGGAGTCAAGCTCTCGCCACTGTTCATCGAATGAACCAGCTCACTCTGTCTTGCCTCGCCATGGCCCCCAGCATCATGTCACAGTGGAACCAGAGAAAATTAGCACCTAATTATAGGCCCCTCTCTGTGAAGACTCTTACTGGTGCTGGTGGTGTGTGTCAGCGTGTGGAGGCTGGCTGGTTGACTCACTGTGGGGACTGAGGTCGGTATTACACGCAGAGGACATCAGAACACATGCACAGGGCATGGAGGACACAAGTCATGACACACATATGCACAGGGACACACACAGGCATAAGGCTGAAACTCCCTTCTTTCTGGTTGATTTGAGCCACAGCAGGGTCTGCACCCCCCACCCTACTAGGCTGCAACAACAGAAACCACTTGTGTTCCATCTCTGATCCAACAGGATTAATTACACACACAATGGAGGCTGATGCCTCTGGTTTCTATGCTCCGCAGGCTCCCTTGTGTTGAGGATGGAGTAGTTAATCTTCACTGGGAACAATGGAGATTTTGTTCTGGTGTATTTTGTTGAGCCGTAGATTTATAAGAGAGCTTGACTATGCTGCCATCTTGTGATTGCATCTGCACAAGTACAGGATGTAAATGAGAGGACTGAAATGACTGAATGTCCTGGATTGCTTCATCACTCTAATACTAAGCAGTAATGTTGAAATGATATGAAATGTATCATGGCACACTCAGAATATTAAACGCCTTGAAAGCCATCTTTTAGAATACCGGTCAGATACTCATTTGAGCAACTCTTTGATCAGGAGAAAATATCCTGAGGGCTGCTCAGAAGGCAGAGCCAGCAGTGGTCAGAAAATAGCTGCATGATGAAACTGTAAAAATCTGAAGTGAGAAATGCCTTCTGCTGAAATGGCAAAGGCTCTGCCAGCGCTGTGAGGAATCAAATAAATGCAATCAATGCTGTCTGGAAAGTTAGCAATTAAATCTTTATTAGGTCTGCAAAGACTTACCAAAAATAGGTTAATATAACAAAAAAATCAATATCTCATTCTTAAACCATACAAAACCATATTGCATCACACTCTAAAACTGTTGATTACTCCAACATCTCTGAACAGTCATGTATGATGACATTCGTTTACAACACAACAGAACAGAGAGAGGAAATGTTATGGACCGAGCAAAACATCACTCAAAGACTCATAAACTACGCTGTCTGCCTTTACACCACTGAATGTGGATGCATACTTGTAAATGTCATGGAGTTAATGCAAAACTTTGGCACAATAGATATTCTGACATCAAAAAACTGTAAGCAAAAGTCCTCGCAGGTTTTAGTGCATGTTGAGCAAATTGTAATCTGCTGAAGAGCAGGAGAAGCACCGGAAAGGAAGAACCGGATCGATGCGTGCACAGGACGAGAGAAAGATTGTGGGTCAGTGGAGGGGTTCTTTTTTAGGGTACAACCACCTTATAAGGGCTGCCGGGGATGTTGTCGTCGCCCCATTTGACAATGACGGTGTAGCTCCCCTTGTCCTTGACGGTGTAGGTCACGTTATACTGCTTGTTGCCCATGTGCTTGACATACACCTCCTCACAAGGGGCTTGGGGTCCATGCACACCGACCATCAGCATGTTGGAACCTGGATGAGAAGTAATAGAGGGTTTAATGATTTTATGATTGACAAATGGGTTATTTTTATCTTGAAGATGCGTTTATCAAACATTTTATGCAAGCAATGGATGAAATGATTAAGTATAATGCAAGAGGTGTTGCTCATAGTGACAAACCCATCTCCGTAAGCGATTTGAGCACCAGGAAAAGCGCTTTATAAATGTAATGTATTATTATTATTAATATTCTGTTCACCATAGCTCTGCATTTTAGTGTCTTTTAGCTCTTTGTTTTGGATGAAACCCTGCAACTGTAAGGCTTCGTTTACCAATACTCATCCACCCTGTTTTTAGTCAAGACAAAATGTATGCTACCTGCCCAGCACCAAACTCCAAAAATCACAAAGCAGGCAACACATTTCTGAATAGTGGCGCATTAAGCCGCTGAAGAGCAAGATGTATCGCTCTGGAGATGGAAAGAGAATTGAAAGTCTCTGGTTGCCAAAAACACGACTCAAACTAATGAGTCGTGTGAATGTTAATTGTTTTTGTGTCTGCTCGATGTTCATCCAGATATTTGACTTATGTTGGTAATGTATGAATATAAAGTATTTTGTCTTTTAAGTGGCAGATAATCTCACCTGCTTTGCTGCAGTCAACTGTGAAATTGTTTTTCTGTCCAACCACAGCCTTGGAGAGCCCTGCTCCACGACAAACCACCACGCTGGCATCAGATGTCAGCTTCGTTGAGGTGGTGGAAGAGGAGGAGCTGGAGCTGTAAGCACCGCCCACTTTGGAGGTCTTGGTGACAGTTTCGACCAACACAGAGGAGGTCTCATGGAGGCTGTGTCCCCCTGAGAGCCGGGCTCCTGTAGCAGAAACAGAGAGACGTTATCTAATGTCATCAAGACTCAGTCTGTGATACTAGAGAACAAAATGAAAAATATTTCATACCACTTTCCAATAAAGTGAATTTCCTAGACTCATGGGAGTTTTTCTTACTCTTGAAAGTATTTTATGTCGCATTAATAAATGAAAAGGGAATTTGCTAGCAGTGACAGCAGGAGTATTTCATTGCAGTGCCAGGGAAAGACAGTTTTTATGCAAAATGTACACTGAGCTGAAGAACGAAGATGACATAACATTTTCCAGACTTCCTCGCTTTTATCAGAGGAACATTTGTTTCATAATCGAGACAATTGTCATGTGAGATCCACAGATCAGATGGGAGAGTGACTGTCAAACAGACCTGTGATTTTGGCTTTGAAAGGGCTGCCCACTATGTGCTGTGGCCCTCCGTATTTAATGGTGATGAGATAGTTGCCGGGTGCCATGGGTGTGTAGGTGATCTTGTAGCCTTCAGGACACTCCCGGCAGTCCATCTTGACCTTGGATGGCCCGTCGATGTTGACCGATAGAGTGGCAGAGCCTGCGTTACAGGTGTTGACCACAAACTCTGAGGATGCACCTACAATGCAGAAAAAGATGAGAAGATTTCTTAATTATTGCACAACATTACAGTGAAGCCATGCTTTATTATCAGCTACATTTTAACATAATTGAAGTCGCGGTGGTGGTGACTCCTACCAGTGGTCCCTCCCAGTAGCCCAGGGCCGTGTGCTGTCACCATGCCAGGGTCTCCAACCAGCCCCGGGTCTCCCACTCGCACGTTAAAGGGGCTTCCAGGAATGTGGCATCCGTTGAACTTGACATCTATGGCGTGAACTCCGTTCTCCCGTGGAATGAAGCGGATTGCATTCTTGTCTGAACACAACAAACAACACAACTGGGTAAAGTACTCTTAAATGACAGATCTAAAACAGAAAAACTGAATATAATGAAGTCTACTTTTCACTACAGGGAGGTTCGTGCGTACCGCTGTCAAGCTCAGTGACATAGCATTCTTCAGAAGAGCCGGAGGGGGTGTGAACTTTGGCGTCAACCACACCTCGAGCCCCATTGCGCTGCACCACGAAGGATGCCTCTTGATTTACCTTCAAGTCCTTCTCCTGCAAAAGACAGGGAAGAATATGATCAGAATATATGTGCGTGTGTGTGTGTGTGTCTCCAGGGAAACAAAGTGTGACTCATCGCGCCTGAACTAGAATAGATTTAACGGTTGGGTGTAAGAGGCAGAAAAGGTCATAGTTTACAGCGAGGCGTTTAGTATTGTTGCCCTACAGGCGTACGAGCTGTCCTGCCTGACATAAGAGGCAGTGTGACATTGTAAACATTGGTCTGATATTGCACTTCATCCGGCTTCAAGTGGTAGAAAAGCACTCTGAAGAGGCATTTCAGTCAGGTAAAAATATATGTTTGGAGCATTGTTGGCAATTGTAATGGAAACTGAAAGCAAATAAAACACGCATCTGTAACGCGGAGAGCAATATTGTGAGCTGTCACAGGTATCTATAAAGAAGTCGTTATCTTGCACCCACTGTTTTTTCGCCGTTTTCCTCTCAGTCAGAGACACAATTGAAAACACAGACACAGAATCACTAAGACTCGCTGCCCGCCCACACATAGCACAGCTTGTGATGCCCAACATTAGCAAGGGACAGTTAATCCAGCCCTTCATCACTGGCCAGCATCACAGTATTATCGCTCCAACTCTGGCGTTAAATTACACTTCAAGGGCGAACTGCTATTAGACAGAAATATCTACAGCTACTCTGACAATGTTAAATGCAATCTGTTTTTTAAACCTGATATTTTGTGACAGCATGTGTTGTTTTTGTTTTTATGTTGATGTGGCTTTACCTGAACGCTAGTAACAGTGAACCTGCGGGCCTCGTCTGACAGTGTAGCAATTGGAACGATGAATGGACTGTCAGGGATGTGCTCGTTGTTGAACTTGATTGACACCTCGTAGTCACCTGGGGAAGCAGACAGATTATTAACTTTCACCAACAAATGAACTGTAAGGAAGTATGAAAGAAATACTGAAAAGTAAAATTGGGGTCTTTCTACTCTTTGGGGCAACAAATGTTTTACCTGGTTCCTTGACTATGTAGGAGACGCCGCAGGATCCATCCTTCCTGTCCTCAAAGGAGATTTCAGCCTTGCTGGGACCCTCCACAGCGATGGACAGACCGCCAGCACCTGCCTCTCTGGTCCAGATACTAAATTCAGCTAGAGAGGGGGAAACAATGTTGGTATTAACATTTTAATAAATATTTGAATCATGTGTTGAATTAAATCACGCTTACTATTTTCTTAATCAAGCTCTACTTTCTTGATTTATATTGTATTACTTATTATTATGTGTTTTATTATATTATATGTTTAGTGTTCTTTTTGTCCTCTTCTGCCTTTTTTCTTTCCCTATTTCAGTAACGCGTGTCTGTCCTATTGTGTTGTGATGTTATGGCAAATTGAAGGAATTATAAAAAATCAAGTCGTAAGCAGTATTTGTAGAAATCTCTTTCTCCATAAACTCACAAGGTGCTGCAGCCACGCCTCTCTCCAGACCAGGTCCTCCGGCACGGACCTTGTGTGATCCTCCCTCCCCCATGGGCCCCACAGTAAACTGGAAGGGGCTCCCGGGGACGTGCTGTCCTCTGTACTTGACGTTGACAGTGTGGGGTCCCATTTCCTGGGGGATGAAGCGCACGCTGTAGGTGCTGCTCCCTCCATCAACTAGGTCAGCATCCACTGTTTTCCCACTGGGGCTGGTCACCTGAGCCGTCATGGCCTGAGAGCCACTCTCAACTACTATGAGGAAGGAATAACCGCAGAGACGACACTTTAGGATAGACATTTGCAGAAAATGTATAACAGATATCTTTGAGAAAATTGTACAATTTCAAGCTCAAAAATAGGGTTTAAATGTGGACTCTCACCTTCAGGTCTGGCAGTGATTCCAGCAAAGCTGCTGAGGCTTTCTCTGCCCAGAAAGTCTCCAAAAACATCTCTGAAGGGGCTTCCCCCTCCGCCCATCTGTGTGCTCTCCTCCACTCGGACCTCCCTCTTGGTCTCTCCACCCCGGGTTTTGCTGATCTCCGTGCGTTCAGTGCGGGAGTATGTGTGGCTGCTGCGGGTGAAAGTCTTGGTCAGCCTCTCCTGAGCTGAGACCATCTGGAACCAGTTTCCTGAAGCGTGAAAAAAAGCAGTGAGGATACAAATGGGAGTACATTTATTTGATGGTGGTTGACCGCTGCCTTGTAACCGTTTCTGACTGAACTCATGTACCCACCTGGGATCTTGAGGTTAAGGCCACATGTGCTGCCCACTGAGGCGATAGTAGACGCCTGTCTCTTTCTAGTAATACTCTCCTTCATCCTTCCTTCTCCGGCCACCTTCACTGTGAAAGGACTTCCTGGAGGGCAGAGAACAACATATATACCGATTTATTTTATGTTAACATGTCAAAAGATTTAGCATTTGTACATTTTCCAGTTAAAGATTCTAACCTGGGATGTGTTTTTCAGCAAACTTGATGTTAACAATGTAACTTCCAGGTTCTGTTGGACAGTAGGTGACCCTGCAGGTCCCGTCCTCCACATCTTCACAGTTGATATCCACTTTGCTCGGACCCTCAACCGACAATGCTAGACCTCCATAACCTGAAGGAATAGGAGAAGTACAGAGAGTAGTTAAAAAAACGTATGTGTTGCCTTTGTACTTGTTCTGACCTCGCTTGCTGTAAAGGTGAAATATTCCGTCTCTCAATCGTACCTGCATTCCTTGTATCCACAAAGAATTCAGCCATTTCTAAAGTGTGTGCCTCTGTCAGGCCTTTGCCGAAAGCCTTCACTCTGCTGGCCTCGCCAATCTCTGACTGGCCAACCATGATTTTGAAAGGACTGTTGGCAACGTGCACACCATTCTTCCTCACGCTCACTTCATGCTCGCCAACCTCCTTAGGGGTGAAAGAAATACCTGCAAGAGAGAGGGGAACAAATCAAGAGAAAGAACCAGAGAAATAAAATCTAAATGCATACAATGAATCAAACACTGCTTATCTATGTTCCACTCTTCCTGTGATTTTGTTTATCTGGAAAGAGAATATCTCACCGAGGTGTCTGTTCGGCAGCTTCTTGAGCAGGCAGGGCTCCTCATTGCCTGATGGCGCTCTGATACTGGCAGTCAGAGAGCTCAGATCAGTTTCTGTGATCTTCAGGGACACGTCAGCCGCTGTGCCGACATTCAGCTGAGATGTCCTGGTGATGGCATCATCACCTTAACATAAACAAGGTGGTTTAGATGTTTGTCAACCCCGTAAACCTGATTTATTATAAACACATCCACTATAATAATCAACAGTAAAAAAGTCAGTGATTTATTTTCTCACCAGTGATCTTGGCAGTAAAAGGACTGCCTGAAATGTGCTTGTTGTCAAACTTGACAATGATGCTGTAGTCTCCAGGAGCGGTGGGCAGGTAGGACACAGTGCAGGTGCCATCTTTGTTGTCCTTGCAGGTGATCTCGGCCTTAGACGGACCCTCCACTGCCAGGGACAGACCACCTGAGAGGGGAGGAAGAATAACACGTTTTTACTTTTCTGCTGAGTAAGGTAAGGGTTAACTGTATTATCACAAATCCACTGTGAAATAAGAAATAGCTGTCAGGAAATGAAGTATAGTACCTTCTCCTGCATTCTTGGTGACCACAGTGAAAGTGGCAGCCTTGTTGACCATGCCGTAACTCAGACCTGGACCATAAGCTGTCACCACTCCGCTGTTCACAGCATCCACAAAGAACTGCAAAGGACTTCCTATAAGGGATGCAAAAATGTATACAAACATTATATTTAAGAAGGCAAGAGAACAAAATATATTCATATTTAGAGTTGGAAACGGCTTCCCATCCTCCTAAAATGCTATGATTCTGACCTGGAATGTGGTTTCCTTCATATTTAATGTCCATCTCGTGCAGACCTCTCTCTGTGGGCTGGTACTTTATTGTGATGGTGCCATCCTTATTGTCAGTGATATGAGGGCGGGCAGTCTTGCCTGAAGGCATCCGCACCTCACCTGGAAATGCAGTTTGGTGAAATGTCAGTGACCTGAAAATATGGTAGCGACATTGTG